CCCGGGTTGAAGCTTCCATCCTCAGCGTTGGGGCGTGCAGGAGGCAGCCAATTGATGATGTTTCTGTCTCATTGATGTTTCTATCTCTCTATCCCTCTCTCCTCCTCTCTCTCTAAAAATTAATAAAAATACTTTTAAAAAATAAAAAGAGTGACCCACATTGACTCCTTTCTTAAACTGATTACCTGAACATTCTCAGTGTGGAGCTGAACTAAACCCTGAAACACCAACTGTCACTTTTACGACAGTTTGTACAATCAGACAGAAGTACCCTGACGTGTACAATCAAACCGAGGGCTGAACGGGCATCAGTAGAGCCCTCTGACCTCAGGGAGCCAACCCTTCTAGCTCGTCACACGGACCTACACGTGTGTGGGAGACACACCGCCCTGCACACGAGACCTGCCTTTATGCTAAAGATGGGCTCCGGCAGACAGTAGCCGCTCATGACGTTGGTGAGGTTCTCCAGGACGGCGTGGAAGACCTGGTTCAGCTTCTCCCCCATGATGGGCAGGGTCTGCTGGACGGGGAGCTCCCCTGTGAACGGCTTGGCCTGATGAGACACAACGAGAACCCGAGGTCAAGCACACCGTGGCCTCCCGACCAAGACAAGCCGGGGGCCGAGGCAGACCTGCCAATACGCAAGCCACACGGACAGTGTTCTCAGGATGGGGCCCAGAACAACATACTGGAAAGTGAAACTGGCAAGATGGACTTCATGTGCCCGTTTGTCTATGGATTCATTCTAGAAGGACCCACAGAACGCCTACTATGTGTGAGGCCCTGGACCAGGAGGTTTGGGACATCCATTCTGCTGGCCCGGAACCCTCAGCTTCTGCCCCCCGTCCCCCAACACCTCCTCTCGTCCTTCTCCACAGTCTGATGTTGGCTTCTCCGTCGGACCTCCCACAGCCAGGGCCAAGGGCAGTCTCCCTGACTGGAGCTGCCGAGCTGAATCACAAGGGCTCATCTCAGAGGCGAGTGTGAGTCTGCAGGGTCTGGTGGCCGGGCCCTGCTCGTGCACCTGGCCCAGGAAATGTTTGCTGAAAGGAGTCACACTGCAGGCACACAGACCTTCCCACTGATCTAAAAAGGCTCACTGTTTCTAGCTTTGGGAAGCCTCAAGAAAGAATAAAAAAAAGAATGGGAAGGAAAACAAAACTAATGGAATAGTCTGGGGAACAGAAACTATCTGATTTTTAAAAATATACTTTTCTGGCCCTGGCCAGTGTTCCCAATGGTTAGAGCATAGCCCTGCACACCAAAGGGTCATGGGTTCAATTCCCGGTCAAGGGCATGTACCTGGGTTGCAGGTTCGATCCCCAGCCCCAGTCAGGGTGCAGGGGGGAGGCAACCAATGGATGTGTCTCTCTCACATTGATGTTTTTTTTTTTTTCTCTCTCTCTCCCCCTCCCTCCCTCTTCCATTCCACTCTCTCTAAAAAAAAAAAAAAAAAAAAAAAAAAAAAAAAAAATCAATGAAAAAAATATCCTCGGGTGAGGATTAACAACAACAAAACATTTCTAGCTATATTCCTGGGCATATGTACTAATAACCGTAGAGGAAGGCGCAATACTCGGATGAATGATGAACATGGCTTACTTAGAAGGGTGTAAACAGTCAGCAAGACCTGTTTTTTCCGGGTACTCACTATGCCCGGAGCACGTCTGAGTGACAGCTCGTGAGAGGGAGGAGGGAGAGCCCTGAAAGCATCTGGGGGAGGTCCTCCCAGATGAGGGTGCAGGTCCCAGGCAGGGGGTCTGGACTATTTAAGCAGGGGGAACACGAAAGAGAATAAAGCCGAAGAAGGTGGGGACAGCTGATGTGGGGTCTGGTAGGTCCACAGAAGAACTGGGGTTTTCTTCTGAGTGAGACCGAGGCTGCTGAGAGGGGTTTGAGCAAAGGAGGGCACGTGTGCTCCTATCACGCTGGCTCCGGGGGGACACGGGAGGCAGGAGACGGCTCACTGACCAGGCAGGTGGAGGCCGTGAGCGCACCCGAACCCACATGAGCCTGCTGGGTGGCTGTGCCGGGAGCTACGTACCGGGTGCACTTTGGAAGGGTCATCGAGCTCCAGCCTGGCCACCACACAGCCCGCTTCCAGCACGGCCCCCGGGCGCTTGATGTACTTCACCCGGCCACTTTCCTGCACGTTCAGGGTCATGATCATCTTCATCACCTGTTGTGCGGAAAGAAGACCCGAGATGGAGCCCACCAGGGCTGGCCCGTGTGTGTGACGCCCAGAGTCCTTCAGAACTAGTAACTCTGGAGGAGGGCCCGCGGCATTTAAACAGAATGACGCCCTGGCAGGGTTCACGCTGGAAGGATAGAGGGAAGCAGCAGTCACCGGAAGCCAGTCACGGTGCTCTTCACAGATCATCTCCATCTGCAAAGCCGGCCGGGGAGGTATGTTTATGCCCATTTTACAGACGTGAAAACTGATCTTTACTTGGGAAGCACAGACTCTCTCTTAGAACTATCATTAAATCGTAGTATGTAGGGTGATTAACATACACGTTCCTGCTCCTTTTCTCAAGGCAACGAGAAACCCTCTGAGGAACACTGTGAAATGAAGCATGTGCTCCCAGTACACACAGTGCGGGCACCCAAGTCCGCCAGGCCTGGGCGGCAGCCCCGGCACCCACACATCCTGCGACCTCCAGCACGTGCCTCTCCCTCTCTGAGCCCCGCCTCTTGTGAAATGAGGACTCTGATAAGGATTCAGCAAGATGAACAGTCTGGCCCACGGTCCCTGTATTGTCATTGCCATTGTCAGGGTATTATTTTCCTTGGCAGTGGAAATGGAGGCTGAGTTTGAATCCTGGCTATGCGTGACCTCAAGTGAGTTTCTTAGCCGCGTGGGCGCCGTTTCTTCATGTGTAAAATGGGGGTCAAAATAGTGCCCGTCTCCTACGATGGCTGGGAAGATTAAAGGGGTAATTAAAGAGGTAAGATGCTCAGAATGGTGCCTGTCCCGTGGTAAGTGCTCTGCTGGTGTTGGCTGAAGACTTTGTAATGGCCACCATCGCCATCATGAATCAGTTCTTACTCATTTCCAGGGAGGTGTGCATTTCTGCTTTAAATACTGTGGGGAATCTGGGCTGAACCCTGCACACTGGCTCTTAGGAATTCGCAGCCGGTGGCCCAGGTTAAGAGGTGAGGCCCATCTGCAGAAGCAATGGCCCTCCCTCGGGGAGCGGGGACGGGGCACAGGAGAGGCCGCGCTGACCCCCGGGCCCTGCCCTGCACTCACCTCCATCTCGGCGTAGCTGTCCCCAGCCTCCACGTGGCCCCCGTCCTCCACCGTGTACTGCGTCAGCTTCCCGGCCGAGGGCGACCTCAGGACCGTGGGGTCGTTCTCCTTCTCGAACACGCACGTCTTGTTGCCGATGGTGATCCGGTAACTGGGGAAGGGGGGGAGCATCGCCCCGGCGCCCACGTCAGGCCCGCTGCAGCCTCTCTCCCTGAGGCAGCCCTGAGGGCCCCTCACCCTGTGTGCAGTTCGGGGGGCTCCCCTTTCCCAAACGGTGGCATTTGACAGTCACCACAAATAGATTAGGAGCCAGTTGGGGAGCAAAGGGTGGAACCGTTTTCTGGCTGAGAGCCCGCCCCGCCCTTTCGGGGCCCCGCCCACACACCTGTCCACCTCCTCCTTCATGTAGGTCGTGTAGCTGTTCCCGTCGTAGGACAGCAGGAGCCCGCCGTCGTTCAGCCGGTGGGCGTCGATCTCGATGTGACCACCGTTCATGATGAGGACGAACATGGTCAGCGACTGCCGGGCCACCTGCGGGACAGGTGCAACGTCCCCACTTGCATCAGGATGTCTGCTTGTCCCTGTGCCCCCAGAACAGCAGCTGCCCCACCCCCGACCAGGAGCTAGAGCTGTGTCCACTGTGGGAGAGCCAGGTGGACGCCTCGCCTGTCTAGTCCCAGGCCCCGATCGCCCGGAGGGAGAAGCTGGCAGGCACGGAGCCTGGAGAAAGGGCACCACACCTGCCTGTGGGTGGACTAATGGTCCCTGGCCGAGGGCATGGTCCCACCGGCCATCTCTCACCAACTGTGCACCCTCCTTCGCTTCCTGCCTCCAAGCATCAGGCCCCTGCAGGGCTGCCTGGGCAACAGGGAAACGGGGTCCAGGGCCCTGCCTCCCAAGCGTGGCTCTGCCCAGGGATTTGGGACTCTAGAGCACGGGTCCTCAAACTTTTTAAACAGGGGGCCAGTTCACTGTCCCTCAGACCATTGGAGGGCCGGACTATAGTTTAAAAAAAAAACTATGAACAAATTCCTATGCACACAGAGGCGGCAAAAACACCCGGCGGGCCAGATAAATGTTTTCGGCGGGCCGCATGTGGCCCGTGGGCCGTAGCTTGAGGACCCCTGCTCTAGAGTGTTGGAGACATTCGAGAAACACGGACCGTTACCTTGAGAATGTACTTAACGCCTCCGTAAATTAATTCCACGTCCACAGTGTTCAGCAGAAAATCCGCAGGGAGGACCTGGCCCCTGAAAAAGAAGACAGATCGGCGGTCAGCCTTGGTTTCGACCAAGAACTCTGCGGCCAGGTCCCAGGACTGCAGCCCAACGCGCCTGGCTGTCCCGGAAAAAGCTACGTCTCCGTAAAAGGCGAGAAAACAAGAACCGTCCCAGGTCAGCACGAATAAGCACGTGGCCGTCTGTCTGTACTTGACCTCGGCCTTGAGGATGCCGACCCTCCCTCTTCCAGGGCAGCCCGGGTTTCTGTGAGGACTTTCAGAAGCGAGCATGCGGGAGGGGTTCACACATCTCCTGTGACTGCTTTGCACCCAAATAACGCATGTTCTGCCTCACTTGCCACTAATGCAAACCCCAAAAGGGGAAAGTGACCCGCGCGCCCCACCTCTCCAGCGAGTGCAGGAAATCCGTCATGCAGGTTCTGAACATCGCGTCGGCCACGTTCAAGGCGCCACACACCACCCCGAGCATGATATCCGGCTTCTCGGCCTGGAAAAGACCCCGCAGTTCAGTATCCATGGTAACCAAGCCCCCAGGGAGCTGGGGGAGGGTTCTCTGTGACCGAAGGGGAGGCGTGTGCAGCTCCTCACCTGCACTTTCTCGGCGATGAGGTGATCCAGCCACCCGGTGTCGATGTCGTTGTTCTGGAAGCTCTCGGTCTCCAGGAGGTTGATGAGGTACTCCACGGTGGTCCTGAAGTCGCCCCGGATGGACAGCTCCTTCAAAGCCACCACCATGTTCCTTGAGGGGAAAGGCACAGGGATTGGTTTCCCGATTAGCCCACGGGGTTCCCCCGTGGTTCCCAAAGAGCCAGAACAACAGGGAAGTCAAGAGGGTCCCGAGTCGGATACCCTGGGT